TTTGCTACCAGATGGCGCCATTAACTGGGGTTCGTTGAAAACGTGACTTCGGCCGTTCTTTGTCCTTCATGGACGTTTGATGCAATAAACATCTATCTATCTATCTATCTATCCCTGGGGCTCTTCAAATGTTGTTTTTTACGGAGCAACTTTTGCTCTGATGAGCAACAAGAGACTTGTCATTATTGGTCATTACTAAATTCTCGTTATTGTTTTTTTACAAGTATACAATGTCCCATCATTTGTTTTAATATAATATCAGGTGCCGAGTTCACAAAACATTCTCAGACAGTCTGATTAAAATACAGATCTATATTTCGTTTCGTTTTTTTATACTTTCGATGGTCTACACTACATGAAGATCTGACAAGTTATAGCGATAGGTCACCTCAGGGGTCAAAAGACCGACTTATGACCCTTTTGACGTCAGACATTTGATTAACCAATCAGCATTGATGTTACTAGTGGATTACCCACAGTTCCGTGAAAAACACGCCTAAGGCTCGCCGTAACAGACCGTTTCATTGGCTTATCCCTGACACCATTCAGAACACGAGTTAAATAACAACCCTTCCAGATCCAAGTGTAGTAAAGACAAGTAAAACGAAATTTTGAACTATAAAAACGAAACGAAATAGAATCTGTGTTTTAACCAGATTGATTCTCAGACTTAAGTTAAGAATTTACTCAAAATTGTTCGTCTTATTTTAACTAAAATATAGCCCTTTATAAAACTTTTGTTATTTTAATGTATCAAATACATCAATAAGAAACTATGTGCAAAGTTTTGTGTTTCTGGATTAAAGATGTTTCTCATAAACAGTGAAGGAAAGTTGAGTAAATTCTTAACTTAAGTCCGAGAATGCTTTGTGAACCCGGGGCCCGTTCTTGATAAATACTGAAGAATACCAATTTAAACGTCGCTTTGTATGAAACAGTAATTGTATTTCCAGTTTAATTATTAAATAGGTAATTTAAAAAAAAAGAAACAACAGATTGTTTTATGTTCTAATTAATTGGTTTGGCTACTCTCATTTGCGAGGGGAGCCACAGTGGTTCGGTGAGTAGTACGTTAGCTCACTAAAATGGAGGTCCCGTGTTCAATCCCTGCGTTGGCCCAGAAAGTTCATCGGAATTTTCCGGCGTGGGTCGGAGAGCCTTGTAAGGGACATCATATAGTTGTTCGGGTGGGACGAAAAACCGAAGTCCCGTGTACACATTGCCGTGCACGTAAAAGAACCCTTGACAGTTGGAATTCAAGTAGGTCATAGCGCCGCTGTCCGGGCAAAATTTCCCTCATAGCACACTTCATTAGCCGAGTAGGAGCAGAACATTAGGACATTAAATCCCGTTTCGTTTCATTTCATTTCATTTCCCATTTGCGAAATTACACCATGGGTTCCGCGAAGATAAACATCTAAAACAAATTTCTATGATTTTACCCTAGGGCATCTTCACAATATTGCCATTGTTGTACTATTAATCTACTATAATGAAACTAATGATGCCTAGGCTTCAGGGCCTATAATAACAGATGTTCCCCAGAAGCAACACTATTCCGTATTGCTTAAAGGAGGCAAGTCTTTAACTCAATATCATCCACAGACTTCGACATTGAAAACAAGACTTGTTGGTCAAATTAAATCAACATTGATGTTGTTATCTTAACGTGAAAAGATGGGCTTCTGATATCCAATATTTAAGACAAAATGAAAATTTTAAAATTGGCACACGAATCGCGTGCCAGAATCAATTCGAGCGCTATTTCTAATGAAGCGACTCGAAGAGCGAGGCTAAATATATCCCACAGGAGAATACTACAGGTGTAGACTGGAATAACCAGACGCCAAAGACTGTCACGGAATTTGAACTCTTCGCGGATTTCGCCGAACATAACTGATTAGAAATTAGAGTAAAAACAGAAACGACTAAATGTAAATCAGTTTATATACATTCATATTACATTATTATATGCGTTGTAGGTCAACACTGTAGTGGCGGAATCTTTGAATAGGGGAGTTAAGGGATGAATTGCTGCTTTATTCAATCTCATTAAAATACCGATCTATATTTTGTTTCGTATGGCTTCTACAATATGAAGATCTAGCCGGTTGTAGTGGAAGGTCGCGTCAGAGGTCATACGGGCGTCTTTTGACCCTATAACGTCAGACATTTGATTAATCAATCAGCGTTGGTGTTTCTAGTGGGTTACCCACTGTTCTGTGCACCTCACGCCAAAAATTCGCCGTAACAGACGGTTTCATTGCTAATCCCTCGCATTATCTAGAAAGCAGGTTATATAACAACTGGGGGGGTTGGATGGCTGAATGGTTAGCGTGCGCGCGCTGTATCATAAAGTCTGTCATTGAGTCGACTGGCGTGGTTTCGAATCCCCGATTGTACGTGACAAAGAGTAGGGTCGACTGTCCAACCTAATGGGTTTTCTCCGGGTCCTCCGGTTTCCTCCCACTGCTAAAGACACCTACGCGCAGGGGAATTATTGAAATAAAATTAAACCATATGTTAGTCCCGAAATGACCCAGTTTGTGTCGAGTGGACGTTAAACCCCATTTCTCTCTATATATATAACAGATCCCATTGTAGTAAAGACAAGTAAAACGAAATTTTGAACTACGTATGTGGTTTCCATATGCTTATATCATAAATGTAGTGTAAATGCTATTATAAATTTGAAAAACGGAAAAGAATTGAAAGTAAGGTCTAATTGTAATCAGACTGGTTCACTAGTCCACCATCATCATTATTTACAGTGTCTGATTTTGACAAATTATATAATTAAAATATAATTGAATCACGAAATTTGAGAATGATGAAATGTTTTTTCTTGGCCTCTATCATAATTGGATTGTATGAAAAGATTGCATTTAATATTAATCTTGTCATTGAATTAATATTTACAAGATAATAATCAACATGGCATCTTTGAATATATCCGGAAAGGGGAGAGATAGAGAAATGGGCTTAACGTCCACTCGACACAAACTAGGTCAATTCGAGACCAACATATGGTTAAATTTTATTTCATTAATTCGTTTGCGCGTAGGGGTCTTCAGCAGTGGGAGGAACCAGTGGACCCGGAGAAAACCCACGAGGTGCTATAAAAAATTTAACTAACTCCACAGTTCGGGTTGTAAAAGAGACTGGTTCATTTTCTTCTGAAAACCCAACACATGCTGGATGAAACCATTTCAAACATGAAATGACCGATAGTGGCGATGGAGGTGTGTTTAAAGCCATATGAAAGGCGTACTTTTTGAAAGCATTATGCCTATCGAACACACAACGAATTATTGCACTATTATAAATGTAATGTAATGTAATGGTGTACTTTTTGAAGGCATTATGCCTCTCGAACACACCACGAATTATTTCACTATTATAAATGTAATGTAATGTAATGTAATTGTGTACTTTTTGATGGCATTGTGCCTATCGAACACACAACGAATTATTTCACTATTATAAATGCAATATAATGTAATGTAATTGTGTACTTTTTGAAGGCATTATGCCTATCGAACATACCACGAATTATTTCACTAACATAAATGTAATGTTGTCTTATTATTGGTTATTTGTACATCATAATTATAATGGTTTTCCTGAAATTATTAGTAGACCAGGGACCATTTCACACCGGCGGAAGTAGGTATCGGTTTGTTGTTATGTAAACAATAGTTTCGGACATGCGCAAGTGCCCAGGAGCAAACACACACTGGGGGTAAATCCATCACGTCACACGGAGCACTACAAAACATCTGACGCCCACTGAAAATAAAATACCGAAGTACAAAAAGGTCATTATAGGAAACAGAGGATAACAACATTAGTTAGGCTAATAAGCGATAGAATATTGAAATAACATGGAACATATACGTCACTACCGACATTTGTGAAGGTCATTGATACTAGTGTATTACTATTAATAAAACTAACTACCTATAATCCATATTTGATAATGTTGGATCCTATTAATCAACGATAACAACCTACAGGGGCGTTTTTCTGTCAAAATCGCCCAGAGTATTGCAAACAGTGACCGACAAAGAAAGATATGTTATATGTATGCATATTCTACACACCATATCCAAAATTTAAACATACATTATGCAAGAGCTAAATCTGCCTATTGCAGGTCTTTCTTTAGGCCTGAAATGTTTTCTAAAGTATTAATTAGACATTAATTAACTGATCCAGGCCTTAATCAACTCTCGATGGCATCAGATTTCTCCGATATTAAATAGATTAGAATGGTTCCGCGATACTTTGATTTAATCAAATATGGAGGACCGAGACTTAGCTTCGATCAACCAGTAGCTTCTGTCAAACCTTCAAAGGCTAATATCTTCACTCTCAATAGAGTAATTTGAATGAAATTTTCAAATTATTTATTTTACATCATCTACTTTCGAACTATTATAGCAAGAATGGCTAGTTCTTTATCTAAATCTTACATAATGTATCTTTAAAGGATTTTAGTGAAAAAAAACCCAATTGATGAATGATTGAAATTATGACAAAGCGGACATGGACACCGACAATGTGATCACTGAAACTGGCGTTTTGACCATATTCAACCAGAATTCAGCCGCGTTCCCTGTTCGGGGAACCACGGGAGCCACGGTGGCTAAGTAGGTAAGACGCTGGAGGTCTCGATCCCTGCATTGGCCGAGAAAGTTATCGGGATTTTCCGACGTGGGTCCCCCTTGTCAGTGGTGCAGGACATGGTTCAATTTTATTTCAATAATTCGCTTGCATGTATATAGGGGTCTTTAGCAGTGGGAGGAAACCGGAGAACCCGGCGAAAACCCATGAGGTTGGACAGGCGACCCTACTCCTTGTCACGTACAACCGGAGATTCGAAACCACGCCATTTGACTCAATGACAGACCTTATGATGCAGCGCGCAACGCTAACCATTCGACCATCCAATCCTCCTCAGGTAAAAGAATAATTATGGTTTTCTATGTGTTTTACAGGGTCACCATTAACTACTAGTTTTGTGTTGTGTGATTATTTTGGTGGAATATGTGGAAATAGTTGTGCTTTGTTTTATTGGCATCGTTTTAACATATCTCTATGTCCCACACCAGGTCATTTATGTTGTACACAACAACCAGACAATCGTAAGTACAATATTTATATATGTTACGGTGGGAAATGAAATTAAACTATATGAGGTTTAAAGTTTAATATATATATATATGTTACAGTGAGAAATAAAATTAAACTATATGGGGTTTAAATTATAATATTTATATATATTACAGTAGGAAATGAAATTAAACTATATAGGGTTTAAAGTCCTACTTTTCTGCACCGACTGGGCTACTGAAGACGGACATACGCTATACAGTGTGACATGAGTACTGAATACGGACATACGCTATACAGTGTGTTATGAGGGACATTTTGCCCATTTATAATTCCGACTGTCAAGGGTTGTTTCGCGTGCACGGGGCCTTGATTTTTCGTCCCATCTGAACTACTATATATATATATAGACACCGTTCCTTGTCAGGCCCTCAGTCCTGCACCACTGACACGAGAAATCACACCGGAAAATCCCGAGGATCGTTCTCGGTCAACACCCTCATACCGCACGCCCTTTCTTCATTAACCCAGTCGGAGCAGAACAGTAGGACGTTAAACCCCATTTGACTTTTGTTACAGTTGGGGTAGGGGTGCTGAGACATGTTTCAAACCACTAGCCACAGATTTAATAAAGAAAGGAATTTAAATTACGTTGAAATTTAATAATAAAAGAAATCTTATAGTTATTACATATTTTATTAAAGGAAGTCAAGGGGTCCCTCTGGCCCCCTTTCCCCCTCCTCTTGAGGCCGGAAACTTGGCCAGGCATTAAAATATATCCAGTACTAGAAAGAATTGAACGATGATTAAATACTAAAACATTTTATTTTTTAGATGTGGAACAGACTGATACCCTGCCAGAAACCAATGGTAAGCTACAGTCATTTTTATAATCCAGTTTTCAAATAACCTAAAGAATAACGCGGTTTCATGAATGTATTACGTATTTTAGAGTATCATAAAAATGTTCTCGAACTAAACTGCTGTCCTCGGTTTTCTGAATGTATCGCGTATTTTCGAGTGACTTGAGAATCATAAGAATTATCCCCAACTAAACTGCTGTCCTCGGTTGATTTCAGAGTGATTTGAGTACCATAAGACTTTGCCCTAACTAGACTTTTCTTTCCTCGGTTTTATCTTTGTATCGCGGATTTTAGAGCGACTATAATCATAAATATGTTCTCCAACAAGTCTACTGTACAAGTATATAACATATAGCAATGTCATCTTTCACAGATTAGAATCACAGACAATCTGTACTAAAACAAAGAATATTCACCCATATGTCCCACGGGCCAATGACAAGCTATCTTACAGAATTGTCGTCTTGGGGCCACGGTGGCTAAGTGGGTAAGACGCTGGCTCGCTAGCCTGCAGGTCGGGTGTTCGATCCCTGCATTGGCCGAGAAAGTTCGTCTAGATTTTCCGGCGTGGTTCCCCCTTGCCATTGATGCAGGACTCGTGTACACATCGGCGTGCACGTAAAAGATCCCATGACATTTGGAATTCGATATAAGAGTAGGCCGTAGTGCCGCTGTCCGGGCAAAATTTCACTCATAGCACATTGTATGGCGTATGCCCGTCTTTATTAGCCCAATTCAGAGGACGTTAAACCCCATATCATTTCATTTCATTGTCGTCTTTGATCACAAGTATAAATCCAAGCAAATCCTGTGTATCAAACACAGTCCTTGAAGCCTCGCCATACCAAGGGCAGTCCCAATAATTCCCTTGTCTGGCAGAAATATGGAATAGTGAGAGTAAAATAACAAGGACTAACAAATATTACGGGCAAAAGTCTTCACGTGAGACTAATGTATCTATAATCTACAATATCCTCATTGAAGTTTGCTCAATTTTCAGACTCAAATTCACCTGTTTTACCGGATATTCCAATGAAAGATGAAGCTCCGCGAAACACATCTTCTCCAACTCACCTTCAAGGTTTGTGTTAAATACATATATTTTAGCAACCATCGGATGCCACAAAATGCTTATTCAATTTTACAGGTTATACTTTGACTTTACCAACATAAACTAAGGCACATATTCAAGTTGGGCAATCTTATTGACTGTTACCCGAGAGTCGCCTTGTTAGCTTAATCTAATCTAGAGCAGGTATTTCCAACTTGGATTCCCATTTTCAGTGGTACAGGATGGAAGGCCTGGCAACAAAAAGTGCCTAGTCGTTTGGATTGGACATAAAACCGAGGTCCCTGATACACGTTGGGGTGGACGTCCAGGAACCCTTGACATGCTATGACGAGTAGGCTGGCAAGAAAGAGTGCTCAGTCGTTTGGATGGGGACATAAAACCGTGATCCATTGTACACGTTGGGGTGGACGTCCAGGAACCCTTGACATGCTATGACGAGTAGGCTGGCACACTTTCGCTCAGAGCATACTGAATGGCGTTTGACAATCTTCTAGCTGGTGGAAACAAACAGAAGGTTAAACCCCATTTAATTTTATTTTCATTTTTTCAGAGCAATGTGGCAATACTCCGCCTATACATCGCCGTAAACGGGTTGTTGGTGGAACTGTGGCCAACACGGATGCATGGCCTTGGATGGTGGCGCTGAGATCAGTTCTTGGTGCTCACGCATGTGCTGGAGCTGTTATCGGAAGTCGTTGGGTTTTAACAGCAGCTCATTGTTTCAGATAGTAAGTACTGTTAGACCAGTAACTCTGAGTTCAATCTGCCGATCTGCCAATCTGCTTCTTTAAAGGACACTATTGGTGTCAGTCATTATCACACATGTGATAGAACTGGTTAAACACTTTCTAAATATAATTTTAACACAGTGATCATTGCCACGATAGGTGCGTAATGAAGATTTCAAGAAACGGAAGTGACGAAAGCAAAAGGAAAACACGAGTTATCCTTCTATATAACTGTCTGAAGTGACGAGTGATAATATATAAACAGGCAAATTTCTGCCTACTAATAATTCCTTCGAAGACCGAAAGTTATTGTATGAGACTGTGGGAGGATATCTGACAATTAAAAAAAAAAGATAATTGACTGTCACTAGATAAGAGAAATCGAAAAAAATATAAAACGTCCGTGCATTACCAAGTTTTTTTTTATTAATATATAATTTAATTTCAACAATATTTCCAGTTTTTCCCAACCAGAATATTGGAGAGTAAGAACAGGGGAATACAATCTTTTACAGTTTGAAGAGTCAGAAAGAGATATTCCGATATCGCAGATATTCGTTGTAAGTAGAAATATCCGCTGTGCTCGTTAGATAATATCGGTCTCAACCATATCAGACCCTACTTGGTTGGCTGAGCGTGGGGTTGGGAGGTCGAACCGTATGTTAGCCCCGAAATGATCAAGTTTGCGTGTGTGTGTGGGGGGGGGGGGGGTCTCTCTCTCTCCCTCTCTCTCTCTCTCTCTCTCATTGCCATGTATTTTAAAGTTTTATTTTAACATATTATCGCTTTAACTATTTAGAATTTCAGTAATCTGACCAGTTTTTCTTATACATACACATAGAATTTCTGCATTAATGATTCGAAATTCCAAGTCATGCCTGAATGATGACCTGGTATCATGAGTATCTGATGTATGATTTGGATGAAATCCATTTAGAACTCTCTGTGTTATATTGCCTTCCAATAACTTTTTGTCGTGTTACCATAATATGATGATCCCGAAATGGCACCCCCCCCCCCCTCTCTCTCTCTCTCTCTCTCTGCCTCTCTCTGTCTCTCTCTGGTTGACTGATGCAACAAGAAACGTATTATCCTGTTTCGCTTAGGCAGTGGTATAGACCTGGTCGTATTTTACGACGAAACCGCGTATTCATTGCCATGCAAATAAAGGATCCCCGTACTACACCCATAGCGTATGAAATGTCGTCCTATTGATCCGCTCCGAACTGGGCTAATGAAGACGGGCATACGCCATAAAGTGTGCTATGAGGGAATTTTGCTCGGACAGCGGCACTACGGCCTACTCTTATATCGAATTCCAACTGTCAAGGGATCTTATACGTGCATGCCAATGTGTACGCGGGACCTCGGTTTTTCGTCTCATCCGAACAACTAGACAGCTGCTCTCGTCAGGCCCTGCATCACTGATATGGGGGAACCACGCCGGAAAATCTGAATGAAATATCTCGGCAAATGCAGGGATCGAACACCCAAACACAGGGCTAGCGAGCCAGCGTCTTACCCACTTAACCAAAACAAAGTCTCGATTATCCATTTTTACGTTTGATTATGCTTTGATAAATGTATTCCACTCTGCTAAATATCGCAGGGTAGCGATGCCATCGAGAGTTGATTATGATCTGGATAAGTTAATGTCTAATTAATAATTTAGATAACATTTCAAGCCTAAAGAAAGACCTGCAATAGGCAGATTTAGCTCTTGCATAATGTATGTTTAATGGTAACAATGTCGACATTTTATATTTTCAGTTTCCGAACTACACATCGAATGATCCCGGTGTCAACAGGGAGAATTCAACGTTACATGCGCGTTACGCCCATGATCTGGCTTTGATAAAACTCAGTGAAGATGCTGAAGTTGTTCCCCTTTGTTTAGCAGGTGAAGCCCAAGCACTACCAGTCACCGAGGAAGATCCATCAGGGTTTAGAATGGCAGCGGTTGAAGCCAAAGGAGATTGTTGGGTAACAGGTTGGGGAACTACATTAGGTAAATATTATAACTTCCCAGAAGGTACATGACCTTGACCACCAGATACACGTGTTTGTGTGTGTGGGTGTGTGAAAACACCAGCCTCGCAACAGTGACGTATCTGCAGAAAGTACTGGAATTGCGCCCCTGTCTAAATATCTGACACCAATTTTTTGTCAGATAACTTTACAAATTTCGTATATTTTGCAAAACATTCCAGACTACTTTCCTAGCTTACGGATGAGAATGGCCTTACTGTTAGTACCTCTTAGTGGCACCGCCATCACCAAATGGGACATGTGCCATACCTACCATAACGTAGATACACCAGTGTTCTGCACAGGTGGGGGATGCAGATATGAAAGGTACCCCGCGAGAAAATTAATTAAATACCAATCCAGGTAATCACCTGAAACTAAAATCTCTGTTTTTATTTTTTTATAACAGATCACAATGAAGATCAAGTAATGAGACAAGTTCATTCGAATGTTGTTGATCATGAAAGATGTGGAGATATGTGGCAGACCACCTTAGAGGAAGATATGGTCTGTTTTGGGGATGGTATCCGAGGACCTTGTGCTGTAAGTGCCATATTTGTTCTTTATAGTACAAACAGAGATGTGATCGTATCGCCGCCTTAGGAGAATTTTCTTGGTTCATTACTCTACTCGACCAAGCTCCTTATGTAATGAAATTTTAAATTATTCGGAGCGTGGGGCCTCTTTTTATGCGTTCACTCCTAATTTTAGAACGCCGGTACCTACTCCCTTGCCTGAAATAATATATGACGTCATAGTATCTAGGCAACAGACATTACCGAAATTATTTTTGCAACGATGTGACCTTCGTCGTAAAAAGTAAACACAATGAGAGATAAGGGGAGACAACTCGGTTTGGTTTGAGCATGAATTTGACCCGTTCATTGTCGTTACTTTTTATGACATAGAGAGTTCCTCTCATGCTGATATGAAATGAGGTTTCTCGTCCTACTGTTATGCACCGACAGGGTTAACGAAGACGGGCGCCTCATGCTAAACTATGTCACTGACTAATTAAGGACGTTTTCAAATGTTACTTTCAGGGTGATTCTGGAGGCCCACTGGCCTGTCGAATGGATGGCAAATTCTTTATTGTTGGCGTAGTCTCCTGGGGAGCAGAAAATTGCAACATGAATGGATATCCAAGTGTGTTTGCGAGAGTTCTGTCTCATATGGATTGGATTGAAGCTACGATGAACGGCAGTCGGTTATAGTTATTTTGATGTGAACACATTTCATTTGAATATAGTATATTGACAACTATGATAACAATCACTTACACGTCATACGCATAATATCACTAAGTGTATATATTGGACTCAAAATAGAGTGCATAACTAAGGGAGTCGTTTTGAATTTGAAGAGTTACATCCCTTTGAATTTTTTGAGTACGATTATTAAGTAAAAATTTTCAACGGATATTAATGGTTGACTTTTCGGAAACGAGAGAGAGAGAGAGAAATGGGGTTTAACGTCCACTCGACACAAACTAGGTCATTTCGGGACTAACACATGGTTCAATTTTATTTCAATAATTCGCTTGCGCGTAGGGGTCTTTAGCAGTGGGAGGAAACCGGAGGACCCGGAGAAAACCCATGAGGATGGACAGGCGACCCTACTCCTTGCCACGTACAACCGGGGAATCGAAACCCCGCCAGTTGACTCAATGACAGACCGTATGATACAGCGCGCGCGTGCTAACCATTCGGCCATCCAACCCCCCCCCCCCCTTTAGGAAACGAAATTAAATCGGGTTTTACGCTCTGATTTTCCGTACCGACCGGGCCAATGAAGATCCTACGGCTGGTCGAATTTCAACTCAGATGAGTTCTTTTACGTGTACGCCCACGTATAGTCTACACGTGCCGTTAGTTTTTCGTCCCACCCGAATGACAAGACGCTGACACATGGCCCTTTGTACTGCATCACTGAAAAGGGGAACCAGCCTGGAAAATCCCACAAACACGGGGATTGTACACTTGAACCCCTGGTTAATGGGCTCTATCTACTGATCCACCACCACCACCAGAAAATGGCTGACAAAATCAACTCCGCTCTTTTCAAAAGACATTGACAATCTTTACTCATAGTGACAAGATGATAGGGTATGAAATGTATAGCACGTCTTTTAATTAAAAACTGTTATTTTCTTACTGAAGTATTGTAATATTGGACCCGTTACACATCGGAGTGGGACTGGAACCTCTATTCACAGGAAAACAGGATTCTTTTCAGTTATAATAGGTTTAATATAAGGAACATAACGTAAGTAGAGAGTACAATGTACTATATCATAATGGCCCAGGTACTGTACGCTGTATAACCACAGGACTAGAATAGGAGGTCAGCTCCCCTAAAGGCGTTCAGTGGTCACGCGAGTCACCGTTATCTCAGGTCCTTAACCTTCACAGCAACAGGACCGCCTCTACTTTCTACCCCTCACAGCAGCTGGACCACTAGACATCGCACCCCTCAAAGTAACGTAAACCCCTAGGACGCTGTACTTCTTTCAACATCTGAACCCCCTAGACATTGTACCTCTCACAGCATCTGGTCACCTAAACTTTGTTCCCTTGGCGTCATCTGAACCCCTACACTATGTCGAGGGCCTGACAAAGACAGCTGTCTAGTCGTTCGGATGGGACGAAAAACCGAGGTCCCGTGTACACATTGGCGTGCACGTGAAAGATCCCTTGGCAGTTGGAATTCGATATAAGAGTAGGCCGTAGCGCCGCTGCCCGGGCAAAATTTCACTCATAGCACACTGTATGGCGTATGCCTGTCTTCATTAGCCCAGGTTAGGAGCAGAACAGTAGGACGTTAAACCCCATTTCATTTCATTTCATTTCCCTACACTATGCACCCCTAACAGCATCTGAACCCCCTAAACTTATTACCCCTCAACAAAACACAGACGTTAGAGTACAGATTATTTATTAAACTACAGTATACGTGTACATATCAAAAACATACAATTTTTAACTTTATCATTAAAAAAAGATTCTGTGTTAGTTTCAATTTTATTAGTGATACTTTCTGTGTTTCTTGTGTTCTTTATATCTTTTATGTTCTTTCTTGTTATCCTTACGCTTATGATCCTTGTGATCATCGTGGTCGTCTCCGTGATGGTCATCGTGATCTCCGTGATGGTCATCGTGATCTCTGTGATGGTCATCATCGTGATCTCTGTGATGGTCTCCATGATGGTCATGATGATCCGTATCGTTAACATGTTCCTCGTGTTCACCAAGGATGGTATCCCAGTGGTCGATAGTTGCACTTACAACAACACAGCATGCAAGTCGATCTCCTGCAGAACCAGAGTCTGATAAATCATCTGCTGTTTTATGGATCTGAAATGAAATGAAATAGGGTTTAACGTCATCCAAACTAATCTAGATGCTGGTTGCTTCTCCGTCCTGCACCTCTGACAATCTCCGGGGAACTTACTCTGCCGACACCGGGGTAGAATCCAGGGAACTTACTCGGCCCAACCCGGTTAGAACCCGGTGAATTTACTCGGTCGACGCCGGGATAGAACCCAGGGAACTTACTCGGTGGAACAACGGGATAGAACCCTGGGAACTTACTCGGTTGACACCGGGATAAAACCCTGGGAACTTACTAGGTCAACACCGGGATAGAACTGGGGTAACTTACTCGGTCGACACAAGGAGAGAACCGGGAGAACTTACTCGGCTGACACCGGGATAGACACCAACATCATGAAACCAACAGCCGAATTTTGTTTCGAAGACCACAAGTTTTCTAAGAATAATATATATGGTATTCGTAGGTTTTATAACCTTTATTCTTGCAGTCGTTTTTTGGGGAACACAAATGTTGTATGAATATGCTTAACACTAACTGTACGTACCACTAATCCCTTTCCAAGAACACCATAGTGTCCCTCTAGATCTGTATGGTGATCATAGAACGTCTTGTAAGTCTCACCATGCTCATCACATTCTATATTTCCATAATCACCACTATGTCTGTTACAACAGAAAAACATACATTAAAACAAAATATATCCCCCACAAAAAATAATTTAATTTAACAGACAAAACAAGTTAATCCGATGTTGATTTATCCCCAATTAAAAGTAATTTAATAAACAAAACAACTTAAACCGATGGTGATTTTATCCCCCATAAAAAATAATTTAATAAACAAAACAATTTAAGCCGATGTTGATTTTATCTCCCACAAAAATAATTTAATTAAATAGACAAAACAATTTAAGCTGGTGTTGATTTTATCCCCCATAAAAAATAATTTTTTAATAAACAAAGCAATTTAAGCCGATGTTGATTTTATCCCCCATAAAAAATAATTTTTTAATAAACAAAGCAATTTAAGCCCATGTTGATTTTATCCCCCACAAAAATAATTTAATTTAATAGACAAAACAATTTAATCCGGTGTTGATTTTATCCTCCACAAAAAATAATCTAATTTAATAGACAAAACAATTTAAGCCGATGTTGATTCCCCCCCCCCCCCCCCCCACAAAAAATGATTTAATTTAATAAACAAAACAATTTAAGCGCGAATTTGATAAATTCAGAAGCTTTGAGACAATATTTCGGCTCATATGAGTTCAGTGGAGTGAACCAAACGGCGTTATTTCCGTGAATGTAATAGTGAAATATATATTCTCTAAATTAACAGAAAAATATTTTATAAAAAATGTATTAGGAATTGGTATTTCAGAGACTCCATCTAGATATCTTTAGAGCAGTTACCTGTGTTCTCCTTCAGGACCACCATGTTCTTTACCATCAGGGTTAAAGTGGGATCCCAGCGATTGACAACCATCACCCAAATCGCCGAACTCATGCACGTGAAGACCATGAATGTGGCTAACGTGTTCACCAGACATATCAAATCCGCTCAAATGAACTTTAACCTCTAAATGTTTGCCATGCTGTAATAAATTTTACAACATTAATATTGAATGTAGGTGAATTGACATTGAGGTGAAAATGAAATGGGGTTTAACGTCCTACTGTTCTGTCCCGACTGGGCTAATGAAGATGGGCATACGCCATACAGTGTGCTATGAGGGAAATTTTGCCCGGGCAGCGGCTATATGGCTTATTATTATATCGAATGCCAATTGCCAAGGGATCTTTTACGTGCACGGCAATGTATACACGGGGCCTAGGGTTTGAGTCTCATCCGAATGACTAGACAGTTGTCCTTGTCAGGTCCTCCGCCCCGCACCACTGACAAGGGAAAGTCACGTCAATTGTTTTATTGCGTGTCCCAATATATAACTCACAAATAATATAATAATAATTGGTCTTGGATATTCACCTAAGGGTGCATTGTTTCATTGGAAATAGAAAATATCTATTTCCATTCATGGCTAAAATAGCTAGCGGACGCTCCTGTTTAAAGGTGATTAAAGCGTACGAACCTTTTGTCTAAAGTATATGGTTCCATTTATAGGTTGTTGTTGATCTGCTGGTAGAGCGGTGTTGGGGTGTACATGACACACAGCATATTCATATTCTATAATACATAAAACATAAATAATTCATTATTATTCCTTGCAACTCATTTTTTTTCAAAATAATAAGGTGGCAATGATTCAAGAGAGGGTAAATAAAGAAAAAAATAGATTTATACTTCACCATTAGATCAGTAATAGTAAGAAATAGAGGGAATGGGGTTAAACATCCACTCGACAAAAACTGGATAATTTCAAGACAAACATATGGTACAATTTTATTTCTATACCTCGCTAGCACATCGGGTCTTTAAAAGTAAAAGGACACTGGGGGACACGGAGAAAACCCACGTGGTGACCCTTGTCCGTGTCATGTAGAAGCTAGTGATCGAAATCATCACATTACTTGGCTCAATCATTGACGTTTTTTTTTTTTATCTAAAGCACACGCGGGATGTTGGGTGGCCGAATGGCTAACGCGTGCTCGTTCCATCATAAGGTCAGTCATTGAGTCAAGTGGTGTGGTTTCGATTGTCCTACCTCGTGGGTTTTCTCTGGGATTTCCAGTATCCTCCCACTGCTAAAGACCCCTACCCGCAAGCGAATTAATGAAATAAAATTGAATTGAACCATATTATGCTAGTCCTGGAATAACCTAGTTTGTGTCGAGTGGACGTTAAGCTCGGCACTATGGCCAAGTGATCTCTTACGTGCACGCCAATGTATACAAATTTTCGTCCCATCCGAACGACTGGACAGCTGTCCCTGTCAGGCCCTCCGTCCTGCACCACTGATAGGAGAAACCAACATCGGAAAATCCCCATGAACTTTCTCTGCCAATGCAGGGATCGAACACGCGGCCTTCATTCTAGCGAGTCAGCGTTTTTGCCCACTTAGCCACCGTGGCTCCACTTTATTTCACAGAAGGCGACAAGGTGTAAAAATGCATATCGGGGATGGCTAGTACCTTAGTTTAAAATGTTTCAATTTCTAAATTAAAATGCATGTTATTATGATGAAAAGCGGATTAATGATGGCCTTTTTCGAGCTCGCGTACACCCATTACATAGACTTATTGCGATTTTAATAAACGCAACAACTTTGAAATGGGTAAATATTAAACATGCTTGTGTAAACAAAGAAGTGCCGGTCTTAAGGAATGAACTTGGTTGTTAATCTGTTGGATTTTAGGACATTGAAATCATGCATAAAATACCAAAAGTATAGATTTTATAAAGAGACCATGTGTTTCATTTCTATGATCATGATATATATACCGTGTGTATCGTTTCCGTGACCATGGTGGTCGTCATGGTGGTCATCTTGGTGGCGTCTGTGATGGTAATCGTGGCGGCGTTTGTGATGGTCATCATCGTCGTCATCATCTAGATGCATGTGCAAATGGATGTGTGTTCCATCAGCATGGTCATCCATATGTGGTTCAGCATCTCCCATCCCATGAACGTGGATCTGTACACCACCACCACTAACCGTTCCAATTCTGTTCACCTTCTCCCATAATGCAGAGATGTTGGATGCTAAACTGTTTTCAGAAACTACAATAATAATACGATAAGACGAGCATCAGACCGGGCCAGAAAAATTCGGATTGAAATGGATTCAGAGTGTTAAATGGATTTCATCCAAATCATACATAAGATACTCATAATGTCAGGTCATCATCCATGCATGACTTGGTAGTTCGAATCATAAATGTATGAATTCTATGTGTATTTATAAGCAAAACTGGCCAGATTATTGTTCTCCCACTAATAGTGATAGAAATGGGACGATTGCTGTTTTCGGACTAACAGTGATAGAAATGGGACGATTGCTGTTCTCAAAATAACAGTGTTTAGGAATGTTGATGGAGTGTCAAATGGATTTCACAACAAACAAAAATACTTACGTTCGGCGTTTGCAACTCTTGGTCCATATTTTCCGGCTTTCTTTTTGGCCTTCTTTGCCTTCTTTGTCGCAGCCAAGGATAATAAAGCCAGGCTAACTAAGATGAAAATCCACAGCTTCATTTTTAGTTTATAAGTTTAAAATACCAATCGATGTGAACACGTTGACCAACAAACCATATACTGAGTTGGTTCTGGTTTTATCCGTCTTTTAAATAGGTAGTTTTCTCGTGATTAATAAAGCCGTGTGTAATATCAAAGCCGAGTGGAACAAAAACCAGATTTGTCCGAATTCGTTTTAATTGAAAGATAAGATAAAGGGTCTAATGTTTCTGCTAATTAAAATTAGCCTAATTAACGAAGAGTAGTAATCATCAGCAGCCTATCTGTCCATTGGTGTAAATATGATTAATCCTCTTAGGTAACCTCCACTCCCCCCACCCCCTCACCCCGCGACAAAAGCGCCCTCTCTGTCCCTTGTATCTTGCCTTGATAAGGGTTGATTGTTAAAGTTTAAAGGAGCTAAATCGGTAATATTTGGGATCTAGAATTTGACATAAATGGGTCGCAACGCATATACTAATGTAATATGAATGTATATAAACTGATTTATATTCAATCGTTCTGTTTTACTAGAATTTCTAATCAGTTATGTTTGGCGAAATCTCTAGCGTCTTGTTATTCCAGTCTACACCGATACTATTTATTGCACATGCTCTCCAGATAAGAATATGGCGTCGCCGTTTGACATGACTTGTGGTAAAGTGTTTATTTTGTCTTAAATATTAGATATCAGAAGCCCATCTTTTCCCAGTAAGATCACAACATCAATGTTGATTTAAATTGACAAATAATTCGTGTTTTCGATGTCGAAGATTTTCGATGATATTGAGTTAGAGACTTTAATCTAAATTCGACCAAATATTTAATAAATCGGTTCAGTTATAATCCTCTTATACAACCCCCCCCCCCCCCCCCTGCCCGCTCCGCTATCTTTTTTTTGGTCTTATTGATGAATGTAAAACTGGACATGAACTACCATTTAATGAAATCATCTTATGAACTCCCCCCCCCCTCGCGCCGCCTTGCACACCCAAACAACCCCTATGCTCCCTCTTCGCCCCTCGCTGTTTTAATCTAATTGTTGAAGCTATATAAGTTTTAATAGGTATTAATTGTTACACTGTGAATTGAAGTAAACCTAATATTAATTATTTATATCATATAAAAATAATCTTCTATTGTTTAGATATAGATATATAAGTTAGGAGGGCCTGACAAGGACAGCTGTCTAGTCATTCGGATGAGACGAAAAACCGACGTCCCGTGTACACATTGGCGTGCACGTAAAAGATCCCTTGACAGTTGGAATTCGATATAAGAGTAGGCCGTAGTGCCGCTGTCCGGGCAAAATTTCCCCCATAGCACACTGTATGGCATATGCCCGTCTTCATTAGCCCAGTTCCGAGCAAACAGTAGGACGTTAAACCCCATTTCATTTCATTTCCTTTATATAAGTTAATTATTATCATTTATACCACTCAAGTTGAATCTGACAGGTTCTAAATAAATTGCTGTTTATTACTTTATTTGTTTATAAATAATACGATGTTTTAACTATCAAAATCTTAATCTATGACAGTTTATTACACTAATCCTCGAAGGAAGCTAGGTCATTTTGAGACTAACATACGGATTCAATTTTATTTCAATAATTCGGTAGCGCTATGTTGTCTTTAGCATTGGGGGTAAATGGGGTTCAAGGTCCACTCGACACAAACCCACGAGGTTGGAGAGGTGACCCTACTCCGTGTCGGGTACACGCAGGGATTCGAAACCACGCCTCATGAATCAATAGTTAATCGAGACTACACTGTTCTTCAAACGGCCATAATGGAGTAATTTGGCTGTAATTTTCAACATATTCCCTTTTCATTATCTATTTTTAAACTAGTATTGCAAGAATTGCCAGCTTCTTATCTAAAGCTTACATAAAGCAACTTTAATATCCTATGGCTTGTTAATATAAACGGACAGGGACCGTTAGAGTACTTTGTCGAGTCACTGACCTTTCTGAAAGGAACTAATATTAGTAACAGACAGCTTTATGGATAACATTGGGGGGTTGGATGGCTGAATGGTTAGCGTGCGCGCGCTGTATCATAAAGTCTGTCATTGAGTCGACTGGCGTGGTTTCGAATCCCCAGTTGTACGTGGCAAGAAGTAGGGTCGCCTGTCCAACCACGTGGGTTTTCTCCGGGTCCTCCGGTTTCCTCCCACTGCTAAAGACCCCTACCTAGTTTGTGTCGAGTGGACGTTAAACCCCATTTCTCTCTCTCTCTCTCTTATGGATAACATTGACTAGGTTTTTGATAACGGTGATAGTAACCTCATTGAAACGTTGCAATTAATAAACCTAGTGAATGGTATCCATACGCAGGGGCGGATCTAGGAATTTTTGAAAAGGGGGGTGGGGGCTCCGCAAAATGAGGGCACTGACCGCGGAGACGAGGCACGCCGCCGAGAGTTTTTTTGGTTTGTTTTTTTTTGGGGGGGGGGGGGCCAAGAAAATTATCCGTCATTTCCTTGCATTTGTAGCCATTCCAAGAGCTATTTGGCTTATATTTTCGTCTAAGTAAACGTTCGGAAGTCGTTGAAAAAGAGCCTTAGACCAGACTGGTGTGTTTGAGTCGATGGTTTGAGTCATTTGGGATCCCTGAAGCGGGTTGGGAACGGCCATATTTGGGTCTGAGAAAAGGCACTTTCAGCAGTAAAAAAGGACATTGTCGAAAATTAGGGGGGGGGGGGTGGCGATCCGCGTCTGCAAACTCGCCTCCCTGACCCTCCCCCCCCCCCCCACACACACACACCCTCGGAACGACTAGTCAACTAATAACGATACTTCTAGAAAGTTGTCCACAAAACAGAATATAAAGAAAATTGTTGATAAGGTTGCAGAAAAACATATACTGCTTATAACAGTGTGATAAGTTCAAGGACAGGACTGTACAAGGTCGATACAGTCTTAAGACCAACTAGAAATCAGCCAGATTTCTTCAAGTTTGGGAATGTGACCTCAAAGATTTGTTGAAGAGAATCCTGTCATCAACCTCTCAAAGACAATAAATTGTAGCCCAATTATTATCTATTCAGATGGTGTATTGTATAAGTGTCATATTACACTGCTCTATATTTAGAATGCAACACTAAAGCTAGATGGGTTTGGAATCAGATTCTATGAAATTTGAATAAGAGAATAAGAAAAACTAATCAAATTAAACACAGAAATAAACAAATTTAATAACAATTTAATAAAATTTTAAAAAATTGATTCAAATATTACATAATGTAATAATAAGCTTATTAATTTGATGTAATATCTACAGCAGCTTGTCTAAGCCAGGGTATAAAATATCTTACATTATTTTACTCATATACTTTGATATTGACCAATTTGATGTTAACCAATTAAATGATTTTGGAACTTTTTCTTGGGGAGATAAATATTCATAAGTAAAAACAAGGGTTGTTGAGCACATTACGATTGTATAACTCTTGCCAATTATATATTGATTTCTATAGAAAGGGGCCAATATCGAAATATTAATGGCCTATTGATCCATCGTAAAATACTATTTACGAACTTATCAATTATCAGTAAAAGAAAATTTGATCCAAAATTATCTATTTTGGTGCAAAAATATGAACATTTACTGATTATTTACATACAGGGAAAAGGTCACCCCAAAACAATCTACATGTATTTGTTATTTAAAAGAGCTAACTCGCTAATATTTAGGACCTAGAAATTGACACAAATGGTTCGCAACACAAATAATAATGTAATATGAATGTACATAAACTGATTTAGTATTTATTGCGCATGCTCTCCAGATAGGAATATGACGTAACCGTTTGAGTTACTTGTGGAATATATCTAGCCCCATCCTTCTAGTCCCTTGTTATAAATGGCACTTAAAGGCATTCGTGAACCGATGGTAAAATGTTTATTTTGTCTTACAATCTTATGGAAGCCTATAACTACCATTTATAATTTCTACTTTTCGCCCCTTCAAAACACGAAAGTCGAAAAGTGACCTTGAAAGTAGAGACTACATCAACTTCTGAGGCGAAAAGACAACAGTACGACACCAAGCCAAAATCAAAGGTCGCTAATATCGCCATCAATACTAGACTTTATAAACTATTTTGTTAATGCGAATTTATTGTCAATGTCAACAAAACAGTACACCTTTAATAATGTATTATAACAATATTACTTATATTCTCTGTCACCACAGGGGGATCACGTGGCTAAGTGGGTAAGACGCTAGTTCGCTAGCCTGGAGGTCGGGTGTTCGATCCATGCATTGGCCGAGAAAGTTCATCCAGATTTTCCGGCGTGGTTCTCCCTTGTCAGTGATGCAGGACGGAGGGGCTGACAAGGAAAGCTGTCTAGTCGTTCGGATGGGACGAAAAACCGAGGTCCCGTGTACACATTGGCGTGCACGTAAAAGATCCCTTGGCAGTTGGAATTCGATATAAGAGTAGGCACACTGTATGGCGTATGCCCGTCTTCATTAGCCCAGGTTAGGAGCAGAACAGTAGGACGTTAAAACTCCATTTCATTTCATTTCATTTCTGTCACCACAGAGTTCTTGATCTGGAAATTTACACGGAAATATTTATTTATGGCTAGGGATATGATATCATATCTTTCTTGTCTAAATTAGATCCTGCTTATATATATATATATAACCAGGATATAATATATATAACCAGGATATAATATATATAACCAAGATATAATTTAGATAAGAAAGATATGATATCATATCCCTAGCCATAAATAAATATTTCCGTGTAAATTTCCACATCAAGAACTCGTAGTATTATTCTTACAATTTCTCGTACAATAGGGGCCACAAGGCAAGAAGTTAGGCCCGATATACGCGAACATCAAACCGAGATCTTTGATACATAAACATATAATATTAAGTTTTTTTCAAAACCGGATACAAATCGTTAGAGGGACCACAGCCTTCGATCCGATTATCACAAAATTCAAACCCAGGGTGTAACGGTGTATATTTAAACGGTTTTTAAAATCGGGTATAAACTGTAATTTTTGGTACACCCGGGGTCCATAATCTAGGAGGTTACGGACCGATATGTGCGAATATGGAAAGAAACAAAAATCCGTGGAATATAGATATATATTTTAAGTTTGATCAAAATCGGATAAAAAAATTGTGACTTCTACAGTGTCCACAACCTTGGTATTATATACTTTTATACTATTTGCGAACGAGGAGCGGGCAGTTTCAATCCGATTTTCATGAAATTCGAACTCAACCATCATAAGGGTGGAATGGTGATATGTTAGAACAGCTTTTAATATTGGATAAAATGCCAATATCAAAAGGAACCGCGTGTCCACAAATAAATTGTGGGCTGACAGGGGCGACTCAATACACGTCCACTTGAAAATATGGGCGTACAAAAATAGCTCAGCATGATAAAACTTGGTTTTTGGAAGACTAAACAACTGATATCAAAGACTTTATATGAAATGAGATTTTTATTTTAGAAATTAAAATGTTAAGTTATTTGATACTCCCACTGGCAGGTTAATAGTTGTCAACGCTTATGTAATTTATATTAGGGCAATACTACTCAAGACGGACATGTTGTTTAGATCAGCATACCAAGCAATTAAAATCAGTGAACCGGACCAAACCCAAACATCCAAAATTTAGCACTTTTTCCTAATTAGTCCTAGCACTGGATACGGTGCTACAAATAATTTGCATTTTTCCAGTAAACAAGGTTAGGCATACGACCTAATAGAACTCTATATGGCGTACGCCCGTCTTCATTAGCCGAATAGACGTTCAACACGTTTAGCAACTACATCGCCTTATGTCCTATTACTAAAAACGAACTATTGCAAACAGGGAGGGCCTTCAGTGTGGCTGGTCCTTAACTATGGAATGATCCCAGATTCTTTAAAGTCATCTTTAACATTAGACAAATTTAAACAATCATTAAAAACCCGTCTTTATAAGAGTACATTCTCTGAATGAATCAAACTCTGCTAAAAGTGATTTAACTGTCATTGTCCTATATTGTGTACTACATGTATCTGCATAGGCGTAGGAGCCGGGGGGCAGGGGGGGCATTTGCCCCCAAAAAAATTTATTTTCGGGAAATGAAAAATTCGACGACCTTTTTTTTCTATTAACGTTTAGAGAAAAAATATAACTAACTTATTTCTATGAGATCCACACAGCCCGAAAAGTATTTTCTCGTCTTTTTCTTGTCCACTGCATATGCCCGAAAATATGCCCGAAGCTCTCTTATGATAGGTATGCCCGAAAAAACGGTATTGCCCGAAAATAGGTATTGCCCGAAAAACGGGCATCGGGCCGGAAAGCGGCAGAGGAAACTAGCAGTAAAACGCGTTTGCGACCGTCAAAATTTTCTTGGCGGGTCATTCGCCTCTCAAAGAAAACCGGCGCCGCTGTCTATAAATCCGAAATTTTTCGGGCATTCCTAATTTTGCTTCCCTAACTGTCACCGAGCCCTAATAAAACACTAATTTTACTTTTCTTGTAATTGAATATCACGAATTTGTACTGAGTTGACTATGGATTAAAACATTTTGTCTGGAGCCACTCTACTTTGTGCGACATTTTTCAGGCATCGATTATTATTTGTGAATGCAGATGCAACAGTCGGATTGGATGGTTAGAATTCAGAGTGGGATTTCAGTTACAAAACCATTGGATACTTTTGGAGTTGCTTACACGGGCTAGAATAGCAGAAAACGCATTTACGGTGATTAAATTTTCAATTTTTTCTCCGGGAGGGTGAGGCCTCCATATACCGCGCGACGATTGATTGGTTGTTTGGAATTCGGGTCAGCCAGGTAGGCTATATTGGACCAAATTGAAGTTACTGTATTCACAGACTGGAATAACAGGAAAACGCGTTTGCGGCAGTTACATTTTCAAAATTTTCTCCCAACGGTCCCGTCTTCGTTGACTGTAAACGATTGATTGGAATTCGAGTCAGCCACCTTAATAAGGCTATAATATATATTCGACCACTTTGAAGTTGCTTTGTTCACCGGCTGAAATAGCAGGAAAACGCGTTTGCGACAGTTAAATTTTCAAAATTTTCTCCTAACGGTCCCGTCTTCGAGGACTGTAAACGATTGATTGGAATTCGAGTCAGCCACCTTAATTAGGCTATATTAGACAGCTTGAAGTTGCTTTGTTCACTGGCTGAAATATCGGGAAAACGCGTTTGCGGCAGTTAAATTTTCAAAATTTACTCCTAACGGTCCCGTCTTCGAGGACTGTAAACGATTGATTGGAATTCCGAGTCAGCCACCTTAATTAGGCTATATTAGACCATTTTGAAGTTGCTTTGTTCAACGGCTGCAATAGCAGGAAAACGTGTTTGCAGCCGTCAAATATTCCAAAATTGTCTTTGGGGGATGGTGGGGGGGTATACAAGGTCGCTGCTGTCTGTAAACCCGAAATTTTTTCGGGCATTTCGGGTTCTGCCCCCCTAACTGCCATCGAGGCCCTACGCCTATGTGTATCTGTTTGTTATGTTCTTTCACGGGACATTTGGTTTTTCGTCCCACCAGAACCACTAGACACAGAAACAGGACCCCTTGTACTGCATCACCCACAAGGGAAAACCAGCCTGGAAAATCCAGAGGAACGAGTCCGGCCAACATCGGATTTTAAAGGCTGGATCCCTTGGTCAATGGGCCTTACTTACTGAGCCACCCCCAACCCCAAGAAAATGGTTGACAAAATCGACTCCGCTCTTTTTCAGAAGACATTGAAATTCTTTACTGATCTCATTTTTCAGCGATACGACGACAGGCTATAGAATGTATAATGCGTATTTTAATTAAAAACTGAAGCATTGTAATATTGGACAAAAATGATATGTTACACATCGGGGTGGAATTCGAACCTCTATTCACAGGAAAACAGGATTCTCTCTCTCAGTTATAATAGGTTTTGTAATGCACAATCGCTCAATTACTGTGCGTTGTATAACCACATGGCTAGAATAAGAGGTCAACTTCCCAAGCAGCTACACTGAGTGAAAACGACATTCAATGGTCATTCGAGTCTCCGTTATCTCAGGTCAGTGACCTCCACAGCAGCGGAACCACATATACTTTGTACCAATATGATTAAAACACAGATCCTATTTCGTTTCGTTTTTTATAGTTCAAAATTTCGCGTTTTACTTGTCTTTACTACACTAGGATCTGGATGAGTTGTTATCATTGGCGTGTTCTGGATGATGTGAGGTGCACGGAACTGTGGGTAATCCATTAGAAACATCACTGGTGACTGGTTAATCAAATGTTTGACGTCATAGGGTCAAAAGCGGCTTGTATGATCTCAGGCGCGACCTCTCAAAACAACTGGACAGATCTTTGTTTAGTAGAGGCCATCAAAAGTATAAAAATTCAAAACGAAATAAAGATCTGTATTTTAATCAGATTGACCTTGAACCCAGACACTGTACCCCTCGTAACATCTGAACCTCCTAGACATTGTACCCCTCGTAACATCTGAACCTCCTAGACACTCTACCCCTCGTAACATCTGAACCTCCTAGACACTCTACCCCTCGTAACATCTGAACCTCCTAGACATTGTATCTCTCGCAACATCTGGACACTAACTTTGTACCTCTAACAGAATCTGCGCCCCCTAAACTATGTACCCCTAACATCATCTGGAATCCCTAAACTGTGTACCCTTCAACAAAATACAGACGTTAGAGTACAGATTATTTATTAAACTACAGTATACGTGTACATATCAAAAACATATAAGTATTTCCAATTTTTAACTTTATCATTAACGAAAGATTCTGGGTTAGCTTCAATTTTATTAATGATTCTTCTTTAATTTCTTATTTATACCAAGCTTGCGTTTGTGTTCTTTGTTATGGTCCTTATGCGCCTGTTTATGACCATGATCATGCTCGTCTCCATGATGTTCATCGTGATGATCATTGTGGTGGTTATCGTGGTGATATCCGTGATGGTCATCGTGATGGTCAGCGTGTTGGTGATCGTGATAAACTCAGTGATGACCATCGTGATGATCATCGTGGTGGTGATCGTGGTGATCTCCGTGATGGTCAACGTGTTGGTGATCGTGATGATCTCCGTGATGACCATCGTGATGATCATCGTGGTGGTGATCGTGGTGATCTCCGTGATGATCATCGTGGTGGTCATCGTGGTGGTCAGTGTGGTGGAGATTGTGATGGTCATCGTGATGGTCTCCGTGATGATATTCTTGATGATTATGGTGATGAACTCCGTGAAGTTCATGATGATCCGTATCATCAACAACAATATGTTCCTCGCGTTCACCATGGATGGTATCCCAATGGTCTATAGTTGCACTTACAACAACACAGCACGCCAATCGATCTCCTGCAGAACCCGAGTCTGATAAATCATCTGCGGTTTTATGAATCTGAAAAACAATTAAAATATCGTAATGGTCTTTATGATTCCGCATCAGGTCGTCGTCAATCGGAAGAAAGATGGTAATTATGCTCATCGTAGAAGTGCCTGATGCCACCCTTCCACACCGATTATTTTATTTATTTCTTTCACAACATGTCAAACAGTCGGGTTTTGTTTCGAGGAACACAAGAATATACCCTTGACCCTTACAGTCGTGTTTCAGCGTTTTCTGTATAAGCTTAAAGATACAACAGATGTATGTAAAGAGCTATCCACTCTAGTTATGATAGTTCAAAAATAGATAATGCAAAATGAATATATTAAAAATTTCATTCAAATTACTCTATTGCGAGCAAAGATATCAGCCTTAGAAGGTTTGATCGGGTATGTGCATTAATTATAACCACCGTACTGGTTTTTATTAGAGGTAACCAGTGTATGTTAACAGCAGGCCAATTACCTACACATGAACATAAACAGTTCATATGGGCAGCTTATCTGACGGCCAAATTTCACTTGCAAAGAGATACACTGTCAAAAATGAAAATGGACGTTTTTGATTTTGTCTTAATAATCAGTAATTGCTCCATCAATCCTCAGACATTCAGCAATTCGTCGTGGCATGCTCCTAATCAACCGTTCAATCACGATTTGGGGCAAGCTGGTCCACTCCTCTTGCAGTGTCACGGTCAGTTCTTGCAGTGTTATTGTCGGTTGACGTTGACGTCGACGAACACGTCTCCCGATCAAATTAAACGTAACACACTACAGCAAAGATACGCTAAACAGTAAATCGTATGCAAGAACCGATAGGAAAGCAAACATGGATAGAATACACCAGCACGTGGCAGTTTTCATCAACCCTTCCTTGAAGTGTCACATTTGACAATGAACCCCTCCCACGTGTACGGTGCTATTGTGTGTCGCACATGCAGCTCAGTGGTTATGTTGGGCCGATAAGTTCTTCCATCTGTGAACATACTCTCAAAGTATGCCAAGAGTCCATGACTATTTATCATATCACAACCTGCATAGGTATTTGCATTTCAATATCCCCTACTTTTTTGGAAGAGTATAAATGTTTAATTAATAGTTTATATAACATTTCAGGCTTAAAGAGAGACCTGCAAAAGGCAGATTTAAGATTTAGGTCATGCATCATGTATGTTTAACTGTACGTACCACTAATCCCTTTCCAAGAACACCATAGTGTCCCTCTAGATCTGTATGGTGATCATAGAACGTCTTGTAAGTCTCACCATGTACATCACATTCAATATTACCATAATCACCACTATGTCTGTTACAACACGAAAACATACATTAAAACAAAAATATATACTCAACAAAACATAATCACCACTATGTCTGTTACAACAGAAAAACATACATTAAAACAAAAATATATCCCCCACAAAAAATAATTTAATTTAACAGACAAATAATTTAAGCCGATGTTAATTTTATCCACCTTGGTGGTGCGATACTGGCAAACTGTTCTGCACCAACAGGAAAAATAAAGACATGCTGGAAAGGGGCCCCGTTGGTGGCGCAACGGTTTATTCTTGCTCCCAAAGGTGTACATGGGACCTCTTATATCAATATTATGAAAGTAGTAGGAGAAACTCAGCTTGATTAACTTCGCTGAAATCTTTCTACGAGCTTATCTTCAATCATACTGAATCCAAACTGGGAGATGTCTGATTTCAAATGATAAATGATAAAATGATAAAAATGATTATATTTTAATATGTTTGGGATTCTGTCGGCAAATTGCTTTAAGCAATAGACCCTAGTCTTATCAGGTAAAAACGGACCTTGGTTCTGAGAATAACAGACACATTATGATTACCAGTTGCAAAGCTCTTAATGGTTCACCATAAGTGAATGAAATACGGTTTAACGTCCTACTCGGCTAATGAAGACGGAAATACGCCATTCGGTGTTCAATGAGGGATGTTTTGACCTGACAGTGGCGCTTTGGCTTACTCTTATATCGAATTCCAACAGTCAAGGATTCTTTTACGTGCAAGCCTAATTGTACACAGTACCCCCTGAACAACTAGACAGATGTACGTGTCAGCCCCCCCCCCCTCCTCCCCAACCCCCCAAAATCCTTCACCATTAAAATGAGGAAACCAGGCAGGAAAATCCGGAGGGACTTGCTCAGTCAACACTGGGGGCGAACCCGACACGAGAGCTCCAGGTTAACTAGCCAGCATCTGTTTCACTGAGTCACTGCGACTGCTTCATATTAAACTTTCTTTTATGACAGTGAATAATATCCAACTCAACAGAAACAAATGAAATGAAATGAAATGGGGTTTAACGTCCTACTGTTCTGCTCCTATACTGGGCTAATGAAGACGGGCATACGCCATACAGTGTGCTATGAGGGAAATTTTGCCCGGGCAGCGGAATTATCGCCTACCCTTATATCGAATTCCAACTGCCAAGGGATCTTTTACGCACATTCCAATGTATACACGGGACCTCGGTTTTTCGTCTCATCCGAAGGACTAGACAGCTGTCCTTGTCAGAAATAAATGGACACAATGAACTTTCTGTGTAAAGTATTTGATGAAAATATACTCAGTGCTGGCCAAGGTAATGTGGTGATGTTCTGTTGTTGGAGGTAACCTGTAACGATCCTGGCCCTGTGACATCTTGCGTTGTCATCCTGGAAGATGAAAAAGCGGCCATGACGTCGTGCGAACGGCACAACATGGACTGCCAAGATGTTGTCCCGGTAGTACTAGCCTGTAACACGCCCTGCAACAACATGTAAAGCCGTTCTTCCAGCAACAGTGATGCCTCCCCACACCATAACAGAACCACCCCCAAATCGATCATGTCTGATGACGTTAACGTCTTGGAAGCGCTCGTTTCGACGACGCCACACCCTCCTACGTCTGTCCAAAAAATCAACAGTGAACCTTGACTCATCTGAAAACATCACATTGCTCCAGCGTCGATTATCCCAGTGTTGACGATCCCTACACCAACGACGTCTTGCCTGAATGTGATGATCTCTCAAACAAGGGATCACGCGAGGACGTCGGGTGCGAAGGTGACCCCTATGCAGTCGATTCCGAATCGTCTGGCCACTCACTCTCACACCAGTGGCTGTTTGAAGACGAGCGCTGATCTGATTTGCTGTGATTACACGATTTCTCAAGGCCAAGGTACGGATAAATCGATCCTGGGCTTGAGTTGTCGCCCTTGGTCGACCTGAGCGTGGTCTGTCCTGTACAGATTGTGTATCACGGTATCTGGACCATAGCCTGCTTATGACAGACTGAGAAACATTCATCGTCCGCGCCACAAGCGCCTGTGTTGTGCCGATCTGTAACATGTCAAGGGCACGTAACCTTTCATTTTTGGTAAGCCGACGCATATCAAAATTTGTTTTCTGGTCACTAAAACAATTAAACTGATGTTTCCACCCTGGAATTCAATGCCACAATGACTGTAACATTCAAAGTCAGAGTCGTGCAAATCTTGGGTTGGACCCCCATGATGATCCCAAGCATCACATGCATTCCATGCGGTAGCTATTGGTGCGTTTGGGCGTCACATGTAACTGGAAATGTTTCTTCTGTTAGGTTCTATAGTGACTTTTTTCGTAGTCATTTGCATATTTTAGTATTATGCCCCCAAAATCAAATATCCCCTACTTTTTTTGAATAGTATAGTATCAGGAATTGATAGTTCAGTTAGAGCAGTTACCTGTGTTCTCCTTCAGGACCACCATGTTCTTTACCATCAGGGTTAAAGTGGGATCCCAGTGATTGACAACCATCAATTAAATCGCCGAACTCATGCACGTGAAGACCATGAACATGGCCAGCGTGATCACCAGACATATCGAATCCGGTCAAACGGACTTTAACCTCTAAATGTTTGCCATGCTGTAATAAATTACACAACATTAATATTGAATGTAGATGAATGGAAAGTAAATTTAGATACAAATTAAATTGAAATGAAACTGAATTTATAATTGATTTGGAATACATTATAAAATTGAATTAAATTGAAATACATTATAAAATTGAATGGAACTAAAAAGAAATTTAATAAACAAGCTTTTGTCGCAACGACAGCACATTTTAGCGATCCCGTAAATGCACCACATATCAATTCTTTCAGACACCAATACGCCCACATAGTGGTTTTATCTCAAAACCAAACATACAACCATAGACAGTAGTTTATCCAATGGAGACAGCCTGATGTTTGCAAAATTTGACAAAGTCTAATCTTTATCGTGTCCCTACGCTTTTTTTGGAACAGAAAGTCGTGTCATCCTCTTCGATCTCGAATCTCCACACCAAATTTGGAAATAATATGTAAGCTCCACTGCGTTTAAAACGTTTTCAATAAAGGGGGGTAACTCAAGAACAGACAGTCGTGGAACACTGAATATCACTAGGGCTGGTTCTCTCATATCCCAAATGCTTCAAACTAAATTTGAAATAAATCTGTTGGAAATTGTAACCTATATTGCGTGATACAAATTCGTTGAAAATTTGGTACAGGGGACAGAACGCCATGCAGTGTGAAAATCGGTAGAGTTCATCCTCCCATGTCCCCAATGTTTCCCACCAAATTAAAACAAATTTGTTCAAACATGTGTCATCTATCGCATTAACCAGGTCTTCAACAAAAACAGAATGTCGAAAATCGCTGAATACGGAAAGGGTTCATTCTCCTTCCTATGACCACAACGCTTCCAGATTCTGGAGACCGCTGGATGTTGAAAATTGTCGGAGTTCGTCTTCTCATGACCCCAATCAATGCTTTGTACGAAATTTTAAATGAATCTGTTCAAAGGTTTCCGGTAAAAGTGGGGAGTTTAGCTATGGAACAGAGCGTTGTTAATGGTAGAATATCGATAGGATTCCTCCAGAGCTTTATACCATATTTCAAGTAAAAATATTGCATCTATTGTGCTAACAATGTTTCTGACAATGGGGAGGTAACTCCTCCTCCCAGTAACATAAACCTAAATGGTGTGTGGTATTGCTAAGAGTGAAATCGAGCGTGGGTGACATTCACAGTAACGTATACTCGGTATGGCCTCCGTGGTTTGTTGCCACGGTGGCTACGTGAGTAAGGCGCTGACTTGCTGGTCTGGAGGTTGCAGGTTCGTTCCCAGTGTAGGCCGAGAAAGAAAGTTCATCGGTATTTTTCGACTTGGTTTCCCCTTGTCAGTGTTGCAAGACGCAGGGTCTGACAAGAACAGCTGACTAGTCGTTCGGATGGTATGAAAAACCTAGGTCCCGTGTACACATTGGCATGCACGTTTAAAATCTCTTGGCAGTTGGAATTCTATATAACAGTAGGTCTCCGAGCAAAATGCCCCTCATAGCACACTGTATGGCGTATGCCCGTCTTCATTAGCCCAGTCGGGGCAGAGCAGTAAGACGTTAAACCCCATTTCATTTTGCTTGATATTGATATTCAAAAATTTTCTAGGCCAAAAGTTTCATTTTATGTCTGACCAGCACTTCAGACAACTCAGTGGTGGGTTTTCATTGCGTGTCTCGATGGTAGCCGATAGCGTCCATATACATTATACTAATTATTATACCCAACGGTGCATTGTACCAGTGGAAATAGAAAATATCTATTTCCATTCATGGCCTATCTAATATAGCTAGCGGACGCTCCTGTTTAAAGGGGATTAAAGCGTACGAACCTTTTGTCTAAAGTATATGGTTCCATTTATAGGTTGTTGTTGATCTGCTGGTAGAGCGGTGTTGGGGTGTACATGACACACAGCATATTCATATTCTATAATACATAAAACATAAATAATTCATTATTATTCCTTGCGGCTCAATTTCCATAATAATAATAAGGTGGCAATGATTTAAGATACAGAAAAATAGAACCCTACTCCGTAATAAGATCGGGGGCCTGTTTCACGAAATTTTAACTTAAGATAAAATCCAAATTTTAGTAGATACTTCAATTTTGATTGGCTAAGCACTAAAATCAATCTAATATTATCCAATCAAATTACTAAAATTTGGATTTTATCTTAGTTCAAATTTGGTGAAACAGGCCCCAAGTCTTTAATAGTAAAAGAAAAGTGGAGAAGGGGAGAAAACCCACGAGGTTAGTCAGGCGACCCTGGCCCGTATGACGTATAAGCTAGAGATCGAAATCATCACGTTACTTGACCCAGTCACTGACCTTTTGATCTCAAGCACATACGGGGGGTTGCGTTGCATCATAAGGTCTGTCATTGGGTCAAGTGGTGTGATTTCGATTTCCCGCTTGTACGTGACAAGGAGTAGGGTCGCCTGTCCAACCTCGTGGGTTTTCTCTGGGATCTCTAGTATCCCCCCACTGCTAAAGACCCCTAATGAAATAAAATTGAATTGAACCATAATGTTAGTCCCGGAATGACAAAATTTGTGTAGAGCGGACGTTAAGCCCCATTTCTTAGAAGCCTACATATTTCTTGAACGTTGAAACTCTATTTCTTAAAGTGGTTACCTAATTTATTTACCAGAAAGCGACGCGGTATAAAGATGCATATCGGGGATGGCTAGTACCTTAGCTTAAAATGTTACAATTTCTAAATTAAAATGCATGTTTATTGATCAAAAGCTGATTATGCCCCCGTCAGACCGGAGTGGTCTCCTAATGCCCCCGTCAGACCGGGGTGGTCTCCTTACCGCGCTGCTGCCACCGTACGGCGACCAGAAAATGCCACAAGATCGCCGGCAAACGGGAGAAAATGTCAAAAAAAATTAGCTTGGTGTTTGTTTGGAACATGCTCAAAACAAACGCCGTGACTCGGCGATCATTGGCGACCACGGAAACCACAGTACGAAATATATGGTGTTTTCACCACGAAAATATACATTTTATAAGCATACCACGTGTTTCATTTCTGTGATCATGATGCATACCTTGTGTTTCGTTTCTGTGACCATGGTGCATACCGTGGTGGTCGTCATGGTAATCGTGGTGGCGTCTGTGATGGTCATCATCTAGATGCATGTGTAAATGGATGTGTGTTCCATCAGCATGGTCATCCATATGTGTATCAGCTTCTCCCATCCCATGAACGTGAATCTGTACACCACCAGCACCACCAGCAGTTCCAATTCTGTTTACCTTCTCCCATAATGCAGAGATGTTGGATGCTAAATCGTTTTCAGAAACTACAATGCAATAATAATATGATTATAAAATTCGCTACAATAGTAAGTGTACATGTGAAATTAGAGAAATATCCGCAGAAACCCGACGAGGTTGGGAATGCGGTCCTACTACTTTTCATGTACAAGATGGAGACCACACCAGTTGACTCAATGACCGACCTTATGATCTAAAGCGCACGCATTAGACGTTAGACTAATCGACTACCCCCTACTTCTTTAAGTCTGTTCTGAGTAACATATATTCCTGAGAGAGAGGGAGAGAATGGGGAATGGGGAAAGGGTACAAAGCAATATAACAGAGAGTAAGGTTAGAACGATCATCGGAACTGTCCCGAATATTTCGGATTTATAAAGTCAGCGTGTTAAATGGATTTCATCGCAAAGACCTAACAGTTCTCGCTATAATAGTTAAAAATAGAGTATGGAATATGTGGAAAATTTCAGTCCATTTACTTCATTCTGAGCAGAGTTAAAGAACACGGTAGTCTTGATTGTCATTGCTATCGTTGTTAAGACAATAAACCAAGTCTAGATTATCTATATTTTTATTAAATCATTAACTGACAATCGTATTCAAATCCGATGAAAATCATAACTATTTGATGTTCTAGAGAGTCAATTATCGGCTTGACTTGTGAATAAGTGTATAATTAATAATTTATATAACATTTAAGGCCAAGCCAGAGATCTGCATTAGGCAGATTTAGCTCTTACATAATGCATCTTTAATGCAGCCATTCTATGTGTGTATAAGCAAACTTGGTCAGAGTTACCATTCTTTATTTTAATGCAGTCCATTAAAAATGTACTTTACACTTTTTTCTCTGCATTTTTTTTATAGGACTACGTGTTTTAATCTAACAAAACTCGTGTACTTTCTATGGAAGCCTATAACTGCCATTCATAATTTCTACTTTTCGCCACTTCAGAACGCGAAAGTCGAAATATAAAAGTTACGACAAAATGTGAGGCGACAGCACGCTATACAAGGAAATTAAGAATAATACACCGCGATAATAACGTCACCCGTTTTTTCCTAATTTCTCATTTTCGACTTGTATTTTGGCTTGTGTACCGTCTTGTCGACTTTCGACTACGTGTTTTAATCAAAGAAAATGTGTGTACTTTCTATCCCGAACTTTCGTTTGTCTGTATTGTGGAAATAGACTTTATCTGTTCAAAGAAGGCAGACTGCAAGAAAACAAACCTTAGCCAGGAAGGAATTCTTTTTCACCAAATCCAGGCAATGGTATTTGATGTTCAGAATTCTTGTTAGGGATAGGTTTCCATACTATTTACCCATTCGGGTAAGATTACTTTCTACAAGCTTCTAGTTTGATGGCTATGTGTAGTGATTAAAATGGGGTGATTACTATTCTAAAACTAGCAGTGATTGAATTGGGAAGATTGCTCGTCTCGGACTAACCGTGATTGAACTGGATTGCTCGTCTCAAACTATCAGTGATTAAAATGGGATGATTACTATTCTCAAACTAACAGTGATTGAAATGGGATGATTACTATTCTCAAACTAACAGTGATTGAAATGGGAATATTGCTCGTCTCAAACTAACAGTGATTGAAATGGGAATATTGCTCGTCTCAAACTAACAGTGATTGAAATGAGAATATTGCTCGTCTCAAACTAACAGTGATTGAAATGGGAATATTGCTCGTCTCAAACTAACAGTGATTGAAATGAGAATATTGCTCGTCTCAAACTAACAGTGATTGAAATGGGAATATTGCTCGTCTCAAACTAACAGTGATTGAAATGAGAATATTGCTCGTCTCAAACTAACAGTGATTGAAATGGGAATATTGCTCGTCTCAAACTAACAGTGATTGAAATGGGAATATTGCTCGTCTCAAACTAACAGTGATTGAAATGAGAATATTGCTCGTCTCAAACTAACAGTGATTGAAATGAGAATATTGCTCGTCTCAAACTAACAGTGATTGAAATGGGAATATTGCTCGTCTCAAACTAACAGTGATTGAAATGGGAATATTCTTTAAGTGGCATTTAGCGATCAGGGAACAAATTAACAGAACACAGTTTTTATGGGATACAATCACTAGTTTATTCTAAAAGCACGACGTTTCGACAAGTATCCTCTTATCGTTATCTGTTAATTTGAAATGGGAATATTGCTCGTCTCAAACTAACAGTGATTGAAATGGGAATATTGCTCGTCTCGGACTAGCAGTGATTGAAATGGGAAGACTGCTGTCCCCAGACTAAAATCAGACGATTGCTGTTCTGAAACTAACAGTGATTGGAATAGGATAATTACTATTCTAAGACTAGCAGTGCCTGAAATGGGAAGATTGCTGTTCTCAGGCTAGCACTGGACGAAATGGGACGATTGCTGTTCTCGGGCTAGCACTGGACGAAATGGGACGATTACTTTTTTAAAATTAACAGTGTTTAGGGATAAAGATGGAGTGTCATATGAATTTGACAATCAAACAAAAATACTTACCTTTGGCGTTTGCAGCTTTCTTTCGATTCTTTACCCTCTTTGTCGCAGCCAAGGATAATAAAGCCAGGCTAACTAAGATAAAAATCCACAGCTTCATTTTTAGTTTATAAGTTTATAATACCAATCGATGTGAGCACGTTGACCAACAAACCATATACTGAGTTGGTTCTGGTTTTATCCGTCTTTTAAATAGGTAGTTTTCTCGTGATTAATAAAGCCGTGTGTAATATCAAAGCCGAGTGGAACAAAAACCAGATTTGTCTGAATTTATTCTAATTGAAAGATAAGATAAAGGGCCTTATGTTTCTGCTAATCCTAATATAAATTATTTATATGACCCCCACCGCCACCTCAAACGGACCCTCGCTGTTTTAGTCTAATTGTTAAAGTTATATAAGTGTTAATCGGTATTAATTCTTACACTGTGAATTGAAGTAAACCTAATATTATTTATTTATATTAGATAAACTTAATCTTCATTAAAAGAGACAGAATAACCGCCTTAACCTTCTATTGTTTATATATAGATATATACGTTAATTATTATCCTTTATACCACTCAAGTTGAATCTGACAGGAACTAAATAAATCGCTGTTTATTTGCTTATAAATAATGCGATGTTTTAACTATCAAAATCTTAATCTATGACAGTTTATTACACTAATCCTTATCTCTAATCCTTTAATACTTCTTGTTAGTTGTAGTCGTTTGGATGGGACGAAATTGGCGTGTGTACCTGAGAGAGAGAGACAGAGAGGGAGAGAGAGAGAGAGACAGAGAGGGAGAGAGAGAGAGAGAGAGAGAGAGAGAGAGAGAGAGAGAGAGAGAACTGTACACTCGACACAAACAAGGTCTTTCCGGGACTAACACATATTTCAATTATATTTCAATAATTCGCTTGTGCTTAGGGATATTTAGCAGAGAGAGAGAGAAGAGAGAGAGAGAGAGAGAGAGAGAGAGAGAGAGAGAGAGAGAGATGGGGTTTAACGTCCACTCGACACAAACTAGGTCATTTCGGGACTAACACATTGTTCAATTGTATTTCAATAATTCGCTTGCTCTTAGGGGTCTTTAGCAGAGAGAGAGAGAGAGAGAGAGGGGGGGGGTAACGTCAGCTCGACTCAAACGAGGCCATTTCGGGACTAAAATTCGGTTCAATTTTATTTCAATAATTTAATTCGGTAGCGACCTCACGAAGTTGGACAGGCGACCTTACTACTTGTCAGGTACAAGCAGTGATTCGAAACCACGCCACACGACTCAATGGCTAATCGAGACTACACTGTTCTTCAAACGGCCATAATAGAGTAATTTGACTAAAATTTTCAACATATTCCCTTTACATTATCTAATTTTTAACTAGTATTGCGAGAATTATCTTGAGCCTATATAAAGCACGTTTAATATCCCAGGGACCGTTAGAGGACTTTGTCGGGCACTGACCCTTCTGAAAGGAACTAATATTAGTAACAGACAGCTTTATGGATACCATTCACTAGGTTTATAAATTGCAACGTTTCAAAGCAATAATACAATCAGAAGAGAAGTATATAATGGTTTGTTGTTGTTCGTAGTGTTTAACGCCCGCTTCCTCCGAAGGTGATATCACAGGGTCTTTCCTGTGGGAGGAAACCGGAGTACCCGGAGTAAACCCACAAGGTTGAGAAGGCGCCCCTTTCTCCAAGCCTCATACGCCCACACTAAGGGGAGGGGGGGGTCGCTGAATGGTTAGCGTGCGCGCTGTATCATAAAGTCTGTCATTGAGTCGACTGGCGTGGTTTCGAATCCCCGGTTGTACGTGACAAGGAGTAGGGTCGCCTGTCCAACCTCGTGGGTTTTCTCCGTGTCCTCCGGTTTCCTCCCACTGCTAAAGACCCCTATGCGCAGGCAAATTATGGAAATAAAATTAAACCATATGTTAGTCCCAAAATGACCTAGTTGTGTCGAGTGGACGTTAAACCCCATTTCTCTCTCTCTCTCTCTCTCTCTCTCTCACTAGGGATAGAAACCAGAACCACAAGCCAGAGGTGACTGACCAGCGGGATCTCGAAACGCGGCACTCTAGACCACTATAACCCCCGCCCCGCCCCGCCCAAGGGTTTGTAACAATCAAACGTTTTTAGAGCGCTGTAGGAACAATGCCATCGTACCCTAAAGGATTATCACAACCACAAGCCAGGGGTGACCGGCCAGCTGGAGCTCGAAACGCGACAATCTAGACCACTAGCGCCCCCCCCCCCCACCGACAACGGTTTGTAAAAATCTAACGTTTTTATTGCGCTGTAGGGACAATAACGTCATACCTAAAGGATTATCACTTAATGCCCCGATTTACTGTGTCTATGAATGGCTTCTGTTTTTTAATTCTTAATTAGTTTATTGTTATCTGTTTGTATATAACCTTCTGTAACATGTTAGATATCACCCCCGTGGAAGCGACTTAACATTTTTATTAACTCGTTATTATAGAATTGGGATGTCGGGAATGGTCTCAAATTGCGGGAAATGGCCTCCCATTTCCAAAAATTCAAAAATAAATTGTGTCCCGTACGACTATGCATGTCCGCTCCCACAGCGAAAGAATGTTATCTCAGTCCCCGTCCCCATGCAGGCATCACGGCCTTCTGAGGCTGTTTGTGTATAGCTAAGTATTGTCTCTGACTTTATACTATCACTCACTCGAAACAGTAGGACGAACAGCTTACTAGAGTATACTGCACTAAATGGATAGCGACTCAAAAAAAAAACGAAAAATTTTCTCAACTAGTCCCATTTTTTAACCAGTTAAATTCTCTTGACTCTTGACGATACAATGATAATACGTTAATTAATAATATGACGATATGATAATTTCACAGGTTGATGGTTGTAAATTACTTGTAGGTCGGGGTTTTGGCCTAAATTAATCGATTTATGAGATATATTATTTGACAGAGATTATAATCAGATATGCCACCAAATTGCATATTTGAGGTTCAAGGGGCGGCTCCGACACGGGAGCCCGGGCCGGTTCCCGGCCCAATCCGCCCCTGCACACGACTAACGCCAATTAAAGATACTGTGCCACAAAAGTATTTATCGGATGCTTATTTCCAATACAAGTGACGTCAAGGGTTGCACGCGTAGATTGTCTGAGTTCTTCGCGTTAGGGGGCGCTTGGTGTGTTCGTTGATAAATTTGACGGTGAGCGGGCGTGGAAAAAGTGAAAGACTTAAACATACAACAGTTTCCTATATAAAACCCACGGAAAAAGACGTGGACAGGAGATAATCATAGAATTTACTTAGGCTTCGATATTTATGATACGTTCGTTCGTTTCTGGTGTTTTACGTCCACTTCCACCTAAGGTGATATCGTAGACAATATTTATGATACTACTACTACTTGTTAGTTGTGTTTTACGTCCGCTTCCACCGAGGTGATATCGCAGACAATTACATGTTATGTGTTCAAGGTGCATTAATTTACAATGTGGTTAGTGAGAAATATTAGGATGGTTAGGTTTTCATATATATGTACACAGGACAATAAACAACAGTAGGATAACATGTGCAAAGGACGAAACAGGTGTTAGTAGACATTTACAAGCATGCGATTTGACGCAACAGACATGGACAAAGACGGACATTTTCACAGACAAAGACATATGTACATATATATATATTTTGGGTCGTTTGTGTTGGTCTGGTCGTTTTGTCCGGTAGAATGGCAGGGCGGTGCAACTCTACCTTGGGGCTTTGTTGGTGAGTATGAGTCCTGGTCCATTCTTCCTTCCATTTGGGTATGTTGTCCGGTATGGTGGCGTTGTTACATCTTTATTTCTGTTATTCATTCCTTTTATTGTTGGTTCTCTGAAGGAAGAATCCAGCACCTGAAAAAGAAAGCTAGAGAAGAGAGAGTATTTGATCTTACTTTGATTTTATGGTTATTTCGTCTAGTAAGGCTTCGTGGGGGGGGGGCGGGGAATCATTTTAAACTAATAATAAAAATAATGATAAATGGACATCATCTTTTATATGCAATGAATTCTCCTTTGGCTTCGCGGCCGTCGCTAGGTACTGCGACAGCCAAGTCACGTGACACAAACATGACTTCTTTTGATAATTTCTTTTATAGCTTGGAGTATTTCCTCGCCAATACAATGTTTTGAGAGGGATTTAAAGCAAAGTTTTGATAGATTAATTAGTTTGATTGATTTTCGTCCAAATATATCATCAAATCACGCGGGAAGGTATCTTTAATAACAGGTTATCTAGTCTAATAAATTATCAGAGACGATACCTGACAGACCAAGTATCTTTGATTTAGGTGGAAAATGAAAACCGCCGTTTTGCTTTTAAAGCAAATCCCATCACAAAAACAAACAAATTAAGACGACTCAACATACACTCAATGAAATCGATCAATAAAATGTCGTTAAGGGAATATCAGTGTGGAATTACGAATCAGTAACAAAATATTTTAATTGTCCAGTACACACTATAGACAATGTAAAGTAGATATATTATTCTTCAGACTTAAACATACAAGGTCAACGAACTACCGGGAATCCTCGTATTTAAGCCCGAATTTAAGCTCATGGGCCATTGTCTACGATATCACCTTAGGTGGAAGTGGACGTAAAACCCCAGAAACGAACGAACGAACTCATGGGCTTAAATTTAAAATTTATTTTAGAGGGATCTCCCTTTTATATTTTCAAACCACACGTGTTGACATTGATGGAGTCACCTCGAATTGGTGTACTGCCAGATGAGGACCAACTCACTAATGACCTGTTCGAGGATTCCAGTTCAGACGAGGACATTCATGGGTAACGTATAGCTAGCCCTGAGATCTAATTTGTTCAAAGAACTTTGAAATTTAAAGTTTATGGACAGTTTCTTTTTGTATTTTAGAACATTTATTTGACGGTGTATCACAATTCTGTTTTAAAAACCCTTTTTTGCTGATGAATTTGATTCGTTCTATTTAAAATTATAAAAAGAACCCAAATGTTTGTCGATTTTTCCTCTTTTCGATTTTAAGCCCTGGGCTTAATTTCAGAAGAAATGTTTTCATCACTGACATGGGCAAATGCGATATTAAGCCCAGGGCTTAAATACGAGAATTCCCGGTAGTGGGTTAGTTTGTGTTGATACAAGGTTACCTATTATACACTGACCA